GGCGGTGGGTGGGGGGGGTGGAGGTTAGGGGGATAATATGCCATTATCAAATACAGTGTATATCAGATTGTGAGTTAGAAATTATAAAAGTAACCATACTAATAAAATGGAAGCTAAAAAGCCATTAGAAATGTCAGTAGGTTAACACACATTAACAAATACATGATTCAACTCATCCTCACTTGAAGTCCCCAGGAGAGTTCTAGATAAACTAGGGACTGAAAAGAGCTGCATGACCAAGAGCAGTACTCTGCTGCAAACCAGCCAGCATGGGCCTCGCGATGAGTGCAGGGGGCACTTCTGTTCGCTCTGGAAAGAAGAGCCAAGACCTGCTGCCATCACTTGCTCCATGGTTTATGAGGCATCCCAGTCAATGACAGAAGAAAGTAAAGTAAAATGAAAATCTACATTGGGACAGGGGGAGACAAGACCCACCTCGCTGCCGATGACACGATGCAGTCCACCATACCACCTTCCAGACTCTCGTCCCCTTCAGATACCTCCCACCCGGACCAGTTGATTGCTTCAATCATATTCCCTCTGAGATGCACAAAGATCTTTTGCTTGCTTTTATGAATCGTTTGGTCATGTGTTCTTCCAGGGAACCTGCCCTGTCAGTCCTCAACCAAAAGTCCCATGATCCAAAGAAAATACCCCAGGGAAGGCTGGCCCTGTAGGTCAGGTGAGCAGAGACCCTGACAGAGTGGTGGGTCGAGCACGGACAGTTGAGACACAATAAACAGTGGTGGCTGGCCTGGAGGCCAAGGCCCAGGGAGCTGCCTCAAGGGCATGGGTCACTAAAGAGAACTAAGAGGAGGATGTCATCGTACCCACTCTATTAACCTGGATCCACAGACAGCAGAGGGAAAAGGAAAAATTGTTCATGTGCCCCAGAGCTTGGGCCAGAAGCCAGACTTCCCAAATCACACTGGCCTTAAAGCCACAGTCCCTTCATGAAACACAAGACTTTCCCAGGAGCAAGTCCTGAGGGAAGGGTCAGACAGGTGCTGCATGAAGTAGAGCCGTTTATGGGTGTGAGAGAAGTGAGTGGGAATTCTTGGAAGCTCAGGTTGACCAATCAATTGTCTTCTTTCCTAGATTACCTCTCTCAGCATTTCTGCATCTGTAAAAATGGGCTCCAGGGCCAGTCAGTGATGTCATGGTTGGGGTGGCTGGATCTCACATGGCCAACTACATGGCTTGAGTCCCAGACCTGGTGGCCTGGGGGACACTCCAGTTGCATGTGTATATGTGCCCAAAATCTTGAAAGGAGGGAGAAATGGAGAAGGGGTTACAGTGTGACCCCTCCATGAGAAGTGATTTCTCACTTTCTTGCTCTTTCTCTTTCTTTTTTTTTCTCTCTCTCTCTCTGTCTCTCTCTGGCAAGCATATACACTCTGTGGTTAAAAAAAAAAAATTAAAAAAAAGAAAGAAAAGGGAGGAAACTCCAAGCTGCCCCTCACACAATGAGTGACTTTGAAGGAGACCACGCTGATGGCCATAAAGCAGAGCACCACCACCTCGCATTATGTAGTACCACGCTTATTGCTTTTTCTATCATTTTCTTAAAGTAATATTGAATTTTTCAGTTCTAGAAAATGGATTAAGCATGTGGCTATCTTTTAAAAAAAACCCTACTAATATCTTCTAAAAGGATATGTAGAGTTTTAAGAAAAATAAAATCAAAATAATATAAAAAAAAAGTAAGGGAAAAATCAGCAGGAGTCATTATATATTTGTAGAAAAGAAAGAAGATGAAAATAGGTTAGTGTGTAAGTTGGAGCAAGATCCCAATGCACAAGAATAAAACAGCTTCGGCTTTTATTCAATGAGTGGATGCATTTTCCATGAACTTTTCTGGTATCCAGTGAAATCAGTGGCTTAAGAAATAGTGGAAAATCTTTGAAAACTCAGCGTAACATGGTCAGAGTTAGTGGAGAACATATTCATTCATATCACAAACTCAAGCTGCCATGGAAAAGAATATCAGATCAGTTTTTAAAATAAAAAATTTGAGGGCCACACAGTGGTGTGGTTGAAGTGGCTGGATCCCACATGGTTGACTGTGCAGTTCAAATTCCAGATCTGGTAGTTTGAAAAACATCCTGGGCATATGTGTGTGACTGAAATCCCAAGAAGAGAATGGAGGAGAAGGGACTAGGAGGTGGCCGTCCTCCCAAGGGAGGTGCTCTCTCTTTCTTTCTCTCTCTCTCCGCCTTTTTCTCTTTCTCTCTTCTGTCCTATAGCAAATTTTTAAAAATTAAAATTAGAAAAGAAAGAAAATTTAAAATTTGGAAAAGCCATATGGTGGTATAGCAGTATTAATGAGACTCTCTGTAAGGTCAACTTACGTAGGAAGGTTCTGAGTTCACAACTAAACACATTCCAGAGTATTCCAGACACTGTGTGCCCTTGATCCAAGGTTGAGACTGAGAGTGAACCATAGTGTCACGATCTTGTTGAGGGTGCTATGTCTCTATCTCTGTCTCTCTTATTCATAGAAAGGAGAAACTAACTTTTTTTAGGAACAAATAGGTCAATATAAGGGCCAACTAATAGACTTGAAATGACTAATGGCTGAAATGTGGTCTGAAAACAAAATCAAGAAAATCTCCTAAATAAGAGAGCAAAGTATAAACAGAAGAAAAATGTGAGAAATTTAAGAGATATGAAAGTAGCTCCAGAATACCTGACACCTAACAGGAGTCACAAAAGGAAAGACCAAGAAAGGTGAAATGATTATTAAATAGGGCAAAAACATTTCCTAAGAAAAGTCTTCACGCTGAAATGCTCAATGAGAGTCCAAGCATAGAAAGCAAAATGATACAGAGACTAGAAACAACATCGCATTTATGAACAAGAACAAAAAGAAAACCAAATAATCCCAGAGAATTTTTTAAGAGACTTTAAAAAAAAAAAAGACAAATAACTTTTATCGGCCACACTGGATAGCATAAAAAAAGATAGAGGTGTGATTTCATCATTTTAAGTAAAAAATATCTAAAATAAGAATTCTATACCCAGTTAAATTATCATAAACATGTGAAAGTAAAGTTAATACATTTTCGGTAAACAAGGAATCTTTTTTTTTTTTTTTTTTTTTGAGAGGTTTTTGCTATAGGGCGCGTGCGCTCGCCAGACAGACAGAGAGAGAGAGACATAGAGACAGAAAGCGAGAAATCACCCCCCAGGGGGGATGGCCACACACCAATCCCTTCTCCTCCATTCTCCTCTCGGGATCTTGGGCATGCACACACAGGCGCCCGGCGTGAGTTTTAAGCCACCGGGTCTGGGACACAAACCGCGGTCGACTACGTGGGAGTCCAGCGACATAGCCATTACGCTAACTGCTGGTTCCCTAAACAAGGAATCTTAAAATGTAAAACTCATCACCAAAAATGAAAAATATTTTCTCTATCCCCATGTCAAAATGAAAATGAAAAAACTCCAAGTATAACTTGAAATATAACAAAGACAGGCATCTGTCATAGAAGAGCTAAAAAGCAAGGGGGAAAAAAGAGCTAAACTGCCAGACATTGTATCTCTGAGCATGCTTCTTAACAAGGTGATTTAAAGGGGAAGGACACTGACTTCCTGTTATTTCATCCTCTGGGCCAGGTGTATTTTGCAAGATGAGCAAGTTTATACTTGCACTTCAAAATGCTTAAAGTTAAAAAAAATATTAGCTGGCCCAAACATAGAGTAGATAGAACCAGAATGCATCATTTTGGAGAAGTATTCACCACAACCACCACAACTCAACAAAAGCCTCCCTCAAATACTTTCCACCACTGTTTTGGAGGCAAAAAAAAAAAGAGCAGATGGAGACAGAGTCCTGTGACATGCACACAAGTCAAATGAGCAAAACATTAGTGAAGGAGCTAAACAAACACTAATGAGGGCTCTCCAGGAACCAGCTTTAAATATCAACAGGAAGGGAGGAGCTTGTGGGGACAACACACACCAGGGAGGGGAATAAAAGCCCCATAGTCCCAAGCACCTCACATCCCACACACTCACTGACATCTTCATTCATTCACACTCTACTCCTTCCCACCTCAGCCACCCACATGGCCGCCTCCACCATGTCCATCTGCTCCAGTGACCTGAGCTACGGCAGCCGGGTCTGCCTGCCCGGTTCCTCTGAGTCCTGCACCGGCTCCTCCTGGGAGGTGGACAACTGTCCAGAGAGCTGCTGTGAGCCCTCCTGCTGTGCCTCCAGCTGCTGCACCCCAGCACCATGCCTGACCCTTGTCTGCACCCCAGTGAGCTGTGTGTGCAGCCCCTGCTGCCAGGCAACCTGTGAGCCTAACCCCTGCCAGTCAGTGTGCACCAGCTCCTGCACGCCCTCGTGCTGCCAGCAGTCTAGCTGCCAGCCAGCTTGCTGCACCTCGTCTCCCTGCCCGCAGGCCT